GTGCAAACCTTTCTCTTACATTTGAACACCATTATATCTACGGAGAGCTAAGATACATCTGACCTGCATACAAGAACGTGCTGCTAGCCCTGCAGCAAAAAGGGAGGTGCCGCTGACCCACACTAAATACTTTAGTTATGGTCCAAAGTAAAAAGATGCGCAGGATTTTTGTGAGCATTGGGACATGTCTTTTCACCTGGATTATATGCCTGTTTTCAGCACTAGCAGTGTTAATTTTTGATTACTGAACTCTATTTGGATTATATCTATAAAGGACCATGGACTTTTTTACAACATGGATAAATCGGATTTTTTTTGGTTTGCATTTTTGATTTAAATTTACATTTTATTGTGGAATAGGAGTTGTTATATAATTTTTCAATATAGTGCTACACTGTTATTTTTGAATAAGGAGTTTCAAATGACTGACTTTATAAGTAATGTACCTCATCAAATCGTCTCCTCTTTCCTGAAGGTTCAGATCCATCACTGTCATTACCAGAATCCTCTCCATCCTCCTCCTCCTCATCATCACGGAAAATGTCATCATATGCTGGTATTTCCAGGTCATCATCTTGTTTGATAAGCAACTTGATCTGCATAAATGGTTATATTATGGATATAAAATTGCAATAAAGTATCACCCTATTGCGAGCCTCAGTAATGGACACATACCTGGGTGTCATTGTACACATTCACAACATCTATTGGCCTGTGGGTGTCACATATAAAGAAAACAGCCTCTTCCTGTGGCTGTAGAGTCTCCAGAAGATCAATATTCGCACCACAATTTAGAAGTGCAAAGTACCGGAACTACAAAACAAACCAGAATTATTTTACTTTACAGAAAAAAACCATAACGTTTTATAAAAATATAATACTTTGCTAACTGACTTGTTTTTTTTTAATGCTTCCTTACCTAAAAAAACAAAACTAGAAAGACAGACATAGCCACATAAAGAATCATTACAGAAGGGATGTCGTGTGTGAGAGGCGCAGACAGATAAAAACAATTAAATAACTGGTTTGATTTGAGAATTTTTCTGTCCAGTTGCTGATCCAGGTTAAAAATATTCAGAAAAGACACCCACTCCCACCCAAAGAAACATAGGTGTTGGTTTTGCAGCTAGTTGCCCTTTCTGTGCCGACAGGCATGAACAGAACCTTGGGATAAGATAGAACCAATACAAACAAATAGATAAATCGAGATGCTCTGAAGCAAAGATGTCTTGACAGCAGCAATGCAAAAAGCAAACAAAAAAAACAATTCAGAGAGTTTAGATTTACCTGCTCTTTGTGCTCAAGGAAAATAATTTCAAGCTCCTGCCACCCAGATACCGGAACCAGCGTGTACTGGACATGGTCACACTGAAATAAAGACTAGTAAAGAAACAAATTAGATTAACGATTAAATGATCAGACTGCACTAGAAGTTAGAAGTCAAATTGTAACTCCCTCTGTCACCAAGTGATACTTACTCTCAGCAATGAAGGGTAAAACGGGGGAATCACTAATCATATAATTTCACATCAGTACATATTATACATAGTATATAGAATACATATCTTGCACACTGTTACATTACTAGTTATAAGAGTATAAATACTTAAAATATAGTTCCTGCTCTTCTCTTTCTAAAATATTCAGTTCTGTCTATCTATTCTCTTCTGTCTAAGAAGCAGAAACATCACTGGATGTTGTTGCTTGTGTTTTGCTTGGCTTGAATTAGGCTTTGGCAGTCCTTGCCCAGTCCCCTTCTGAATCATCAGAATTGTGTGAAATTAGAATTACTCCTGGAGGCTATTGCCTCTGCAACTTGAAGCTAATCAGTCTATTCTCTCAACTTACATTTGAAGAAAATGTATTGCTAAAGACAGTCCCTTCCTTTCTACCCAGCTACGACTAAAGGAGAGGACGCTAGTTGCCTTGACATCTGAAAACACATTTTGTCTCTTTTAGGGCTGCAACCAACTAATTGATAATAATAGTTGCCAACTATTCTTATGATCGATTAGTTGGATCCCCTAGCCCTCTCTTCCACGCTGGGTGTAGGGCACAGCAAGCAGTGGGCAGGTGCAGTAACCAGCTTGCTATTGCAATTTGAAATGGCCAATAGCAGGCTGGCTATTGCACCTGTCCACTACCTGCTGTATTTACACACAGCTGCCATCTGTGGAATCTTGTCACTGGCAGCAGTCATTCCCTGGCTGAAGTTATTCAAGCGCCATGTGCTTACAATACAATTATTGAAGAAAAAAAAAAATGGTGGGGGGGAAAAAAAAAAAAAAAGTCATTTTCGGTTTTGGGCTGACACATTCGGCTGCGGGAGGCACGTTGCATTGCCATTAATTTCAATGGCACCCCAAACGCGCCTACCACCCACAGTGTGATCGCCCGCCGTGCCATGCAGTGCGATTGCAAAGAATTGTGCTTGCAGTTTTATTCTGAAGTATACTTTGTTTGTAATAAAAGCCTGCCAGTATCGCCATTTCTCATAGATGTAATAAAAAAATATTGTAGTATCCTTGCAGGGAACTGTGAATTATCTATTTTATAGAGCAAGGGTTAAGGCATATTGCGGAACAAATATAGGCACATTTTCATACAGCTAAAATACACCTGCAGCGTATTTTACACTGTATAAAAATAAGCCTTTACAAGTTCTGCAATACGCACATGTGCAGGAGCCCTAATTGCAATGGGTTATACAGTAGAACAGCACCAAAACTAGAAACTGCACAATTTGCTTAAATGTTTAACAAAGTATCCTTTAGAACACATTACAAAATGACGACAAATAAAAAGCATAAACAAAGTGGAAATCTGCGTAAACAGAAAACACTTCCCATCGTCAATCATCAGTAAAATGTTTAACAGGAAATACTGTCACTGCAATGTTTTATTTTGAGCATTTCAATGAGTGACAATGAGTAAACTCCATGTGCATAAAGAACTACAAAAGGGGGGAATGTATCAAAACTGGAGCAGGCAGAATCTGGAGCAGCAGTTGACCAGGGCAACAAATCAGCCCCTCTCTTCCTTTTCGTTAAGATTTGAAAATGAAAGGAGCTGATTAGTTGCCATGGGCAACTGCTCCAGGTTCTGCCTGTTCCGATTTTGATAAATCCCCTCCTTTGTAGTTCTATATGCACATGGAGTTTACTCATTGTCACTCAAAATAAGAAAACATTGCAGTGACAGTATTTCCTGTTAAACATTTTACTGATGATTGACCATGGGAAGTGTTTTCTGTTTATGCAGATTTCCACTTTGTTTATGCTTTTTGTCTCTCACAGACTGTTTCCAATTTTACATATCATTGTTTAAAAAAAAAATTGAGTCCCTTTAAAAAAACAACTGTGACAGTTTCATTGTCACAGGTCGGCTAGAACTATGATGATGAGTGAAAAATCACTCACCACATAATTCTCCTTTAATAAAGAATTAATAAGGAAAACAGGCTTACCTGAAGTATTTTACATGCGCACAATGCATCCACATCAGGTGCAACAAGGAGAAGCACTCGCTGAAATAAAATAGAAGTCTTGAGTAAAGCATGCATTCCTTCACTATTTGGAGGCATTTCATAACGATACATCAACCTTTTATTGGCTGGTGCCCTATATACACTTCATTGCAGTGCATTAGGGTCATATGTATTTTTAGGTTAGATTCAAACCACTAGGTCTGCGTGTAGTGCACTGCACGCTGACCTGCATTAAAGCCCAACTGCGGTTAAAAATTAACATCTCTCTATAACCTATCCTGCCAGGGGTTTTGTTTTTCTTACCTGGTGAAGCAAATTATATTCACAAAGTCACTTACGCCAGCCAGTCCCCGTGACTCCCTTCCGGCCGTGTCAGAAGACTCTGGATCCTGAGAGGACCCCTGAGGTGGACAGCGAATGGGAACTGTCCATGTCATGCAGGCAGTGACATGGACATCCAGAAATAGGACCCCAGTAGGTAAACAGAGCAAAGGACCCAGTGCTGGATGTTTACATTACCGCAGCTTAAAAAAGATCTATACCCTCCTCCCTTAGCTTCAGAAAGTGCTATCTCAGCCTCTATTTGGATTGCAGCTGCCATGGTGCTGCACATGTGATCAGCTATGAAACCAGCCATTTCAGGGCTGGAAAGTTTAGTTGAGAGCGGAAATAAGCACACTGGCAAACCTGATTCACACTAAGCGGCACAAGAACATCTGCAAAGGAGAATCTCCCATTGATTTTAATGGTTGGCACATGTGGCAAGGCAGCTCATGCAGCATTTTTAGCTGCGAGAGTCCCGTTCACACAACAGGGTCAGAGCGTCCTCGATTAAGGTGCCATTACTTGTTAACGGCACCGTGGATGGTGAAATGTGCATTCCCCCCCCCAAAAAAAAGTCTGCTTTCCCCCCCCTCCCCCCCCCACTCGCGAGTGTCGGTGTGGACCAGGTGTATTGAAACCAATAGGTTTTGGCTTGTCAATGAATTGGGCTTCCATTGAGCAACACAGCCCAATGCATGTGGTGTAAATATAGCCTTTGCTTGGACACACATTGAGGTCCCATTAGGAATGGAAGGAATGAATGCCCCCCCCATGACACAAGAATAGATGTGAATAGGAGGTCCCTTTCCATACAATACACTGCAGCTTGGGACAGACGGAAAATACTAAATACTTCTCAATGGCCTGTCAAGGCACAGTAAACAGCCTGGACTACCAACCTCCCTGTGCACACACCGTCCGCCTCACCTGGTGCACTATGACATCGTAAAACTCCTTACGAAGGTCGGTGACAAACATTCTCTGCGGCTGGCGGGGATCTGTCCTCGAAACTGGCGCTAAACTTCTCTCCCCGCATAAACCAATCACAGAGTTTGCTTGTCCCTGACGTAAGAGCGAACCCAGCCACTGACAGCTAACGCTTACAGTGCCAATACAGGCCAGCCAGCCAATGAGAGTTCTCTGTGAGCTTCTGCCGTCACGTCCGAACGATGCGCATAGGGTGCCGGTAGTTGTAGTGTGGCAATGCTATGTGTTTTCTCTCTGCTGCTGCGCCGTGCTGTGTATTGACTTGGCTTCAATAGAGACACTTCCGGTTGAAGAGAGTGACTCAGTGAGATATTATTGTGAAGTCCCTAAACCGGCAGCACCATGGTAAGACTAAACGGTGATACGGTCATGTTACTGGTCTTTATGGTCCTAGAAGAGGTTTCTTAAGAATGGAACTTTTATTACATAGATGCTATTAGTGGAATGATAACGAATGATAGAGTGAGATGTGTCATGTATAACTCCTCCATGTAGCCTGATGTAAAGGAAAGAGGTAACATGTTGAGATGAGGCCTCAGACAGTCCAGGTTTCAGTGTCATTGAGTGTATTTAGCAGTCTGAACTGGCTGACCCATATATATAATCATTGTATTTGTGCTTATATTGTCTCTGCAGACACGCACCTAACATTCTGTCTACATTCTCTTTCAGTTTTCTTTCAATATGTTTGACCACCCGATACCGAGGGTTTTCCAGAACCGCTTCTCAACTCAGTATCGCTGCTACTCCGTGTCCATGCTGGCTGGGCCTAATGACCGCTCTGATGTGGAGAAAGGAGGGAAGAGTAAGTTCAATGATAAATATATAGACTGCAGTGTCACAGAGGAACCTCGTAGAGGTTGAGGAAATGAGCCGCTACTCCAGTGGTGGGCAAACTGCGGCCCTCCAGCTGTTGTGGAACTACAAATCCCATGAGGCATTGCAAGATCGCACAGGCGTGACTCCCAGAGGCAGTTGCATCATGGGATTTGTAGTTTCACCACAGCTGGAGGGCCGGAGTTTGGCCACCCTACCCAAAATTAGAACAAAAAACTTAGCTGGAGCTGCACATCACACTAGCCCTAGGGAGGTCCCTTGTGGGACAGCAAGAAAAAAAGGAATAACTAAGGATTTTTCTAAAGTCCCAGCATATACTATCCTGTTATAACAGGGATGGCCAAACTGTGGCCCTCCAGCTGTGGTGGAACTACGAATCCCATGAGGCTTTGCAAGATTCTCACAGCCACAGACATGACTACCGGAAAGAGAAGCTTCATGGGATTTGTAGTTTCACCACAGCTGGAGGGCCGCAGTTTGGCCATCCCTGTGTTATAACATCAGCATTGTAATAGGAATACATACTAGAGTTGTTTTTGATAATACAATCAAAGCTTACTTGGAAAAAAGCCCTTTTATGTAGTGGGTGCTGCCTTCCATCTGCCCTTCACTTTCACCAACTTCCTGGACTCCCAGTGTGCTTTGTATCTCTTTCCCTACTGCTTGATGTGATCTCAATTTCTGAAGACTACATAACCCATCATGCATCGCTTCCAGCAAGCAATGATGCCGTTACATTGTTCAGACATTGAGTTGTAGTTCAGAAGGCGGTCTCTGTGAGTGTGGTGACACAAAGAAGTGCATATTTACAGTGATGAAGTACATCCTATTGACATCTTCAATAAGTAAGTTTAAAACCTTCCAGATGGATCTGGTTATTAGGAGTGCGATAGAACTTATGAAAATTCATCATAGAAATACAGATTTATTTTGTGTTTTTGACCAGAGATACCCTAGAACACAAATGTAATATTTTGCAGCTTACCTGTCCTTGATTGAGGTGGCTGCATTAGTTTTCACTCTTCAGGGTATAGCTGGACATGCACTGTTAGAATTTTGATGCACTCACAGGATTTAGACAAAATTATAGCCGGGGGTGGCCCTACTGGCCCCCAAAAAGTTGAATGTTAAATCAACTTTTGTCAAATGAGCTGGCCCAAAAATTGTCGGCCGAAAAGTGACTGCAGCCAATCAGATGTAGTCAATATTTAAGTATTCTGACAGTGGTGGGAGCTGGAATATAGTGGCCAGCAGTGGAGATTCATCCATTTGCGCTGTTTAGCGTGGATTGAGGAATCTGTTAGATTTCTTTTGTTTAGCCCACGAGCTGAATGAAAGAAATCTATAAGTGTATGGCCAGCTGAAGAGAGTTTTCAGCAATTACAGAAAATACCTATTGATCTGGTCAGAAATGGAATGTCCTTGTCACATTAGTCTGCCTTGTAATGCAAATGAACAAAGGCAGACATGTTTGAAGTCCAGCCTGGGTGACGACCGCCCGACGCCCGGGACATGCAGTTTCGGGCGCCGGGCGAGTAGTTTTTATGTACATTTAGCCCGGCTCCGGACAAGCGGAGCTGAATGTACATTGTGGATCCGCCGCCGCTCGTTTAGTACAAGTGGTCTGATCAGACCATTTGTATCAATTTGAGCAGCGCGGAACGTGTCTGCCCGCACCCCCCGCCGTAGTTTTCGGGGTCCCCTGCTCTCCTGGGGGACCCCGAAAACTACGGCACAACGGCTCAGCCATAGGGCCCGTAGGGCAGACGAAGAACGTCTGCTCTACAGGCTCTCTGTATGTTCTCTGAGACCGTGGCGCTGTAATCACAATGTAATCACAGCGCCACCTGTCTCGGCTGTCAGGAACTACACAGAACAGCTGTTCTGTGTTGGAGGGCAGGTTCCATAAAGAGAACCTGTCACCTCCAAACTATCACATAAGAGATTTTAATCCCCTATGTGAGAGGAAGAACATTAAGTGGCAAAAGTAAATAAATAAAAAGTTAAAAAAATAATAAAAGAAAAAGTAAAAAATAAAATAAAAATGAAACCCTGCTGCCCCCGCCATCTGCATGCAAATAAACGCATGCGTTGGACATTCTGCATGTGCTTTGAGATTGCTGCCGCCATTCCTTGGTGGCAGCCAGAATTATCTTACACACACACACACTGTGCATTAAAGGGTAAGTTCATTTCCCAGGTAATATGGAAAAATAAAATTACCCAATGAAATCTGGCCCCGTCTCTCCCAGACCGCCACCACCCTGGCTATACTTACCTTTCGGCGAACAAGCCCTCCCCTCCGCCAGTATGGGTGTACTATCTGTCCCCTGTACTGCTGTCCAGCGCAGTCCTCCCCTATGCATTTTGAATTTCGCTCACAAATTGCAAGCACTCATTGGTCAACGTGGTCAGATGACTGACCAGTGAGAAGCGCTACTTAGCACAGTCAAATATGTTTTGATTTGGGGTGCACCGATACTAGTATCGGTGCCGATACAGAGTATTTGGGCGAGTACTCGTACTCGTACTCACCCAAATGCTCCGATACCTTCCCCGATATTGGAACTTACGGCCAGATGAAAATTTCCTCTGACCGGCAGTGCCGTAGAGGAACATGGAGCAAGCTTTCCGTGCAATCAGGAAGCCCTGCAACCATGGCTTGCTCCACAGATACAATGGAAAAATGAGCGTTGACATGAAGGGACAGGAAGTGTGTTATTTATAGGGGAGAATAAAGGATAAAAAATGGAATGAAATGAATGAGGCCACCACATCTATGGACCAGTAAGCTGCAATATATTACATTCTTTTTTGGAGGGTTTACATACACTTTAAATGCCATGGTGCTAGACAGTTCATAATCATGTTAAATGCAAAAAGATATTGATGTAATTTCCCTTTTTAGTTTAATTAAAATTATAGTTAACCATAACGTAGATGCACTATATTGCCAAAATACCATGGCCACAGGTGTATAAGATCAAGCACCTAGGCATGCAGATGATTCTACAAACATTTGTGAAAGAATGGGTCGCTCTCAGGAGCTCAGTGATTTCAAGCGTAATACCGTGATAGGTTGCCACCTGTGCAATAAGTCCATCTGTGAAATATCCTTGCTACTAAATATTCCGCGGTCACCTGTTAGTGGTATTATAACAAAGTGAAAGCAACTGGGAACAACAGCAACTCAGCCACAAAGTGGTAGGCCACGTAAAATGGCAGAGCGAGGTCAGCGCATGCTGAAGCACAGAGTGCGCAGAAGTCACCAACTGTCTGCACAGTCAATAGCTACAGACCTCCAAACCTCATGTGGCCTTCAGATTGGCACAACAACAGTGCATAGAGACCTTCATAGATTGGGTTTCTATGGCCGAGCAGCTGCATCCAAGCCTTAAATCGCCAAGTGCAATGCAAAGCGTCGGATGCAGTGGTGTAAAGCACGCCGCCACTGGACTCTAGAGAAGTGGAGACGTGTTCTCTGGAGTGACAAATCACGCTTCTCTGTCTGGCAATCCGATGGCCGTGTCTGGGTTTGGCGGTTGCCAGGAGAACGGTACTTGCCTGACTGCATTGTGCCAAGTGTAAAGTTTGGTGGATGGGGAATTATGATGTGGGGTTGTTTTTCAGGAGTTGGGCTTGGCCCCTTAGTTCCAGTGAAGGGAACTCTTAAGGCATCAGCATACCAAGACATTTTGGACAGTTTCATGCTTCCAACTTTGTGGGAGGAGTTTGGGGATGGCCCCTCCCTGTTCCAACATGGCTGCACACCAGCGCACAAAGCAAGGTCCATAAAGACATGGATGAGCGAGTTTGGGGTGGAGAAACTTGACTGGCCTGCACAGAGTCCTGACCTCAACCCGATAGAACACCTTTGGGATGAATTAGAGTGGAGACTGTGAGCCAGGCCTTCTCATCCATCAGTACCTGACCTCACAAATGCGCTTCTGGAAGAATGGTCAAATATTCCCATAGACACACTCCTAAACCTTGTGGACGCCTTTCCAGAAGTTGAAGCTGTTTATAGCGGCAAAGGGTGGGCCAACTCAATATTCAATACTACGGACTAAGACTGGGATGTCATTAAAGGATAATTAAAGCCTCCGGTTTTTTTTGCATAGATCTACTGTTAGCAAGTAGATCTATGCAAAAAGTGTAAGGGAAAACAAAACCTCTTTAACAGAGATTAATACTCACCGTGTCTTCCCTGCGCACTCCGTCCGAAAATGTGAAGATCCTCGGGCGGCCGCAAAACATCTTGGGGCGGGCACATGTGCAGATCACATTTTCAGCCAGGACGCGAGGAGAGACACAAGGTAAGTCTATGGACGCATGCACTCGCATGCAGACACGGTGGGACAGGAAGTGCCAACAAGCTCAGAGGACTCAGCGCTGGATCGGAGACCCGCCGCAGCGCTGGAGGGACAGATGAAAACATCAGGAAAGAAGATCGGATTAAGAAACATCATTCAAGGTAAGTGCTTTAATTAACATTGGGGGAGGGAAACATTTTTTACTTTAATGTCACTTTAAAGTTCATGTGCGTGTAAAGGCAGGCGTCCAAAAACATTTGGCAATATAGTGTATATTATCCTAATGGTATTTACAGGCGTACTGGTTATTAAAAGATGCAGGTTCCACTTATGTTTATTCACTTGTCTCCAGCATTAAATAAAAAAGTACATTGCAGATCAAAATGTATAGCAAGAAGAAGAATCTGTTTTCTCTAATCAGTAATGTGCATGTCTGAATGTCTCTGCTCTTGTGACCTCTGAATATTGCACATCATAACCTTGTAAGCTTTTCACTATAACTATTATCTTTTTCAGTTATCATGCCCCCATCTGCACTGGATCAGCTAAGTAAGTGTCTTCTTTAACTTAGGTGTTTTATTTTGTTTTAATATTCAAAACAGTTCTTCCTTTTTCTCTGTATGTAAAAGACCCATTCTCTTATGTAGCTAATGACTAGTAATAGTTAACTCTGCTCACATGTGGTTTGTTTGTCTACAGGCAGATTAAACATCACATACCCAATGCTTTTCAAGTTAACGAATAAGAATTCAGACAGAATGACACATTGCGGTGTTCTGGAGTTTGTAGCAGATGAAGGGATTTGCTACCTCCCACACTGGGTAAGTGGGGATTAGAAACCTGTTTGAAGTATGACATGTTTCGCACCAACCAATTTCAGGCTGAACTACAGAATTTTCCAGCTTTAGGCCTTGTATATAATGGAGTCACCCTGTGTATGGCTCTGCTTAGTGCTGTCCAAACACTAGGTCTGAAAGAGTGTGTTGTGCCAAGTTGCCTAATACGCATGGTTGCTCAGCGAAACATTTGTTTTGTGGTTGGCCACTTTTTCTGTTACGCTACCTGCAGATTGTAGGTTGTGCCAGATTCTGTAGACAAATTGGCTTTCATTGCTTGTCTTTGGTTGTCCCTTTTACCTGCTAGAGAGCATTTGAAAGCTGCACAGATGCAGTATGGGGCGATCTTTGAAAACTTTGCAGGGAAGCTTATCCCACCTCTACCAAACAACTGAACGGTTATTTTCTCCATCAACTCCTCCCCGCACAACTATCAATTTTGTATCACTTGCCCCTCCCTATTAGATTGTAAGCTCTTATTAGCAGGACCCTTCTAACTATCTTGCCTGGAGTTGTAACTCTACTGTCTCCCTTTTATATTGTAAAGTGCTGTGCAAACTGTTGCTACTATAAATATTTTCAGGAGCAAAATAGCCAGCTCTCCTCAAAAATTGCATCATAAGTTATATGGCTCCTTAAAATTCCTCCTGGCTCCTATGGTGAATCTTTTAAATTATAAATTTATTTAATTTGTTAACAATCTGCAGCCACAATGCCTTAAAAACTGGCTTATTTTCCTGCTTCTGTCACAGTAAGAAGTCCTAAATAATGTAAATGATTATAGTCCATTCCAAATGATACTGATGGGCATACCATAAATGTCCTGGTCTTTTTGTTAACATGCACTGGTTGGCTGGAAGACAGGGAAGTTGGCTTGGTGTTGTGCTGCTCAATACTGTGAACCAGTAACTCACATAGCACTTACACCAGTTTGGAGTGAGGAGCAGGCATGCTTCAGGAGCCGTGGCAACAGACTGGGATCCATAGATACCCATAAGCTGTAAAACTGTTTATTTCACAAATAAGGTACAGCTTGATCATCTTGAAGTCTGACTGAACAAAATTTTTAAATCCTTTGTCAGGCAAAGCACTAACCACATATGTATTTAACTGTGTAATTTGTTTGCCTGGCGTTTCTCTCTGATTTTGTGTAGACACCCTTAAAGATAACAAGTCATGGAAGAAAAATGGGAGCTAACATTACTGTCCTCCTCCTGAAAATACTATTTGTCTGACTCACGCCATTAGTTTGATATGAGCTTCAATACCAGCTAAATGCACAATTGAAATGCATATACGGAATTTGTTTTAGCTGGCAAATAATTTGTTTTGGTAATAGTTGTACAGCTGACCATTTTCTTTTCTGATCTTTTTGGGAGTGCGGAAGCAGCTATACAATTACTGCATCTAGATATAGTTACAGTCTTTATACAACGACATTTGTCATGTTATCTGATCAGCATCTGATTACTACTGTTTAAATATTAAGCTGCTTTAGGAGTAATTTCGATCCCCACATCTACCTGCTTGTCATTAACTTCCTGTGTATGGAAATGTCTGCTTACAGAGGGCACAATGTTATTTGGCTTTTTGTACAGTAAAAATCTGTGACTAAGGGTAATGTTACTGTAATCATTTTGTTTGCCGTTTCAGATGATGCAGAATTTACTATTAGAAGAGGGAGGTCTCGTTCAAGTGGAAAGTGTCAATCTTCAGGTGGCCACATACTCTAAATTCCAACCACAGAGTCCTGATTTCCTGGATATCACAAACCCTAAAGCTGTGTATCCTTTTACTATATCCGCATGGACTGCAAGAACTTCAAAATATCAATATGTTGCATGTGTGCTACCTATTACTAAGAAGCACTTTTGTCCCAACAGATAAACTACAAATTCAGATATATCACATTCATGTTTATTTCTCAGTTGCTTCTGGTACTTCCTCTCCAGCATAGCCCCCCACTATAGAGTATCTGAATGCTCGCACTATAGAGCCCTTGTGCCTAAGATGTGGTCTGCAGACCCTTCTATGTGCTGTCTGCCATGTGCTGGGCTGGGTCTGCCACCTGTTGGGCAACAGATAGGTAGAAGGTGCTGGACACTGAAACGATCTCTGTGTTTCATCACACAACACTGGAATAATAACTGTACTGTTAGGCCGTAGATCACTGGAGTCCTGGCCTAAGGTAGAGGGAGAGAGCAGCGTGTGATGAGGTAAGTGACCACCAGTACTGGGGGTAATTTCTTTGCCTCCAGTTTAATTTCGTGGACAACCAGTCTAATTTCGTGGACAACCAGTCTATCTACAGTCCAAGTAGAGTAATAGCTTCAGGAATAGAGAGAGCGTTGCGGGACCATGTGATCAGGTAGGTGACCACCAATGCTGTGGGCAATTAACTTTCACTAACCCTGACCACAAGCTGCTATTGCGCGACCATCTCAGGTGTCAGGGGTCATGATTGAGGCTCGCTATCATTTTTAAGTTGACCACCACTGGTATAGAGCAGTGTTTTTAATTTGTTTTCAGTCATGGCACCCTTAAAAAGTATGCAAAGCTTCAAGGCACCCCGGTCTAAAATGTAAAAAATGGCAGAGGGTGGGAGGCAGAGCATGCATGAACACAGGTAAATGTTTATCCTTTTCTGAATAAAGCCAACCCTCCCTGGAGTAGAGTAATTCTCTCTGGCCTGCACCATGGAAAGGCATGATGCTGTTTGAAAATTTCAAGGCGCCCCTGAGGAAACCAGAAGGCATCCTAGGGTGTCACGGCACCCTGGTGGAGCAAGGCTGATATAGAATATCCTATCTGAATGTCTACAGTGCCACTGGTCATGCAGCTCTAGTACTGCCTAAAACTTGTTTATATGCTGCTTGGATTTTACTCCATTCTCCTGTGTATAATTATTGATCCTGATGTCATACCCAACTCTCTATGTTGGTGAAAATGGTTTCCATTAACAACCAAAGATATGGCTCTGCAGTTTCGAACTTTGCCACTATAATAAAAAATAAGCATGAGAAGCAGTTGGAATTTTTTATGATGGCGATCCTGTTTTTCCTTATATTTTCCAACAGTATTGGGCTTTTTAGGGGCAAAGCATTGCTTAAGAATAATAATAGCTCCCATATCGCTGTCCTCACAGCTTCCCTTTAAAAAAAAAAGACGAAAAACAATCATCTCTGTACCTTGACTTCATATTCAGATTGGAGAATGCTTTGAGAAATTTTGCCTGCCTTACGACTGGAGATGTAATCGCTATAAATTATAATGAGAAGGTAGTGTAAATCCAGTGACATTTGTGAAATGTATACATGGTAACTTGCAGGAATGAAATGAATGAATGGAAATTCCCCTTGCATATACTATAGCAGAGAGCAATGTGCATAGTGCAGTAAGCCAAAGGCAAACTGAAATCAGACTAGATGGAAAATGCACCTCTGCGCAACTGATTGGGCTGGGAGGGGGAGTGACGGTCACAGTTTTGAGCAGGCTTGGTGTGAATTCAGGTGAACTGGGTTCACACCAAGCCCAGACTCATCACTAGTGATAATTAGGCTCCCTTCCATCCCAGTACTACATTCTGCCCTGTTATTTAGCTGCCAAATGCGCACCAAGGCTATGGCACTTCTACAGTTAAATGACTAGGGTGGGAGTTGATCTTGATTTGGCGAAAAGCCAAGGGGGCCTTGTGCAGTGGGCAGGGCTGGATTCCCTCTCTCTGCTGCCCCAAGGCCACGTTCCTCAATGCTCCCCCCAAACACTCCCCCTCCCCCATGGAGAATGGCAGATCTGCAGGCTGCATACAAGTGATCTCGAAGACATCGCTGAGATCACTTGTACAAAACAAGCAGCAGTTTCCCCATTGTACATTTAGCTCTGCTTACCCAAAGCAGGGCTAAATGTAGAAAGCAACTACCCGCTCGGCGCCCAGAACTGCATGTCCTGGGCATCGGGAGATAGGAATTCTACACACCTGCTGCCCCTCTACTCCCTGCTGCCCCGAGGCCGGGCCTTGGTTGGTCTTGTGGGAAATCCGGCCCAGGCAGTGGGGGCGAGGGATCTAAGTGCTGCAACAGGGATACATTTCAAGACTAATACAGTTTCCTATCGGCATCTGTGGAAGCCTGAAATGCAACAATATGTTTACCTTACACACATTGTAGGCCACAATAGAATCTTTTTAACACCGTAAACTAATATATTAATAATAATAGCCATATACATTTTCCTTGTATGCAGTATTTGTCTCCATGCCCTAGTATAAATTAATTAATAAAAGAAAGGGACATTTTTAGATGCTTTTTTTTTTCCAGTAGTGTTTTGGTACTCATGTAAATTTCAGGGAAATTGTAAAGTACTTTTTGTAACTGTAATTGTAAACATTTCTGGTTTCAGATTTATGAACTTCGAGTCATGGAAACAAAACCAGACAAACAAGTATCCATCATTGAGTGCGACATGAATGTAAGCTTAAGAATTAAGTTTGTAAGATATAAGTTCATTTGTACTTGGGTAGTGTTTCATTAATACTGGTGATAACAGTCTTTAAATCTGGTGCTAACTTGTCCTTCCATTCTACTATGAATACTTCCCTAGCATAGAATACCAATCTTATCAGATCTTCAGAATCTGGGTCCATTACGTGGTTTTGACGTATAGCAAACAAATAGTTTTCTGGGTGGTATGGTAGATTGCAGCCCAGTGTTGTCATCTACAGGGAGTGTATTTGTTGCCAGTAAGATGTCTGTTTGGAACATGGCCAAAAACATGATTAGTGTCCCTCGGTTTTGCAGCACTTTTAGCAATTGATTCCCAATTTCTACATTTTATAGTCTGTAAATAAAATAGAATTATGAATGAAGATCCTGTATGCTGATAACTGTAGAAAAGAAGGTTTTCTGCTGTGAACTTTAGGGATGGATTGCTTCACAGTGGATGCAGCTACAGAGGTATGTAAGGACTTGTTGCTTGTTAAAAATATGTACATTCTTGAATGTCTGTAACTTGGCCACAGGTTCACTCTAAAGAGAAACATCACCTTTATCTTTGAAATGACAACAAATACACCTTTAGAAATGTTTAGTGATGGCAATCTAAGAGATACTTATAGATAATTGAAGGCTTTTTATTCTTTGCATATCTTATTTCTCTTTTCCTCCCCATTCTTCTCACAGTGCCCATTTGTACTAAGGGCCGATTATTATATCTCCTTTTACTTCCTGGAACTCTGGCACATGTAATTAAGACATGTGACTAGGACATGTGGTCATACACATCATGTCAGGGGAGGAAAATGCCTTTCCCTGAGATCTCCTGAGATTACAGATGAGACTTCCCAGCAATGCACTGCTGATGTAACCAGGGTGCAGCACTTAGGCACATTACATCACTAATGCCCAAGAGGACCAGGAAGTTTTAAAACAATAATTGTAAGTAAATCAAAACAAGTTTGTTTAAATAATGATTTAGGATGATTTCAGATCAGCATGCAGAGCTGCATGCTGATGTGATTTTTATTGAAAGGGGGTAAAGGTCCAGATTAAGTACTGCAAAATGGTTATTAGGTGCCATTGGAAGAAATGGTCCTTATTTAGTTTTGACTGACTGTTAAACGTTCTGCATGCTGGTTTTCAACTGTATTCATTATTTTACTATCTCCTTGTACAGTGCGGATTTTCGGTTAAGCTGTTTATTTGGAGCATTTTTTAATGATAATCTTTCCTAAACTGCTATGATATGAATTTTAAATTCTATGGTCAGTGATGCAAATGAGTGATTTTATATAGATAAAAAACAGAATTCACATGTTGATGTAATGAGTTATCCTAATCTTTTAATAGAAATACATTTTAAGCAATATATTGTGTTTCAGGTGGATTTTGATGCCCCGCTGGGTTACAAGGAGCCAGAAAGACAAACACAGCAGGAAGAGCCAACTGTAAGATTACAATGCTCCAGTGAATGGAGATATACATAGATACCAAATATAAGTTTAAATCTCAACAAATTAAATATGTAACTGAATGCCTTATACTTTGCAATAATGTTTTGTTCAGGAAATGCCTGTATACATGTTAAGAAAATAAAAGAGATATATAACCAACTAGGGATGTTCAGATACCAAGTACAATACTCGGTACAAGTACATGTACATATACTTTTACAGCTGAAGGACTAGACTAGAGAAAAATTCAAAGGTTAGGAGGCAGCTGTCATTTTTAAGGATTTGTGCATCCCCATTTTATTGCATTATTTAAAGGAGAACTATGGGGTTAAGGCTTTTCCCCATAGTTCTCCTTAGGGTAACGGGAGGACACAAACTAGCATCCTCCCGTCAAACACATTGTATAATATTGCAAAAACAAAAATTCCAGTGCTTTTTATTCCAGCATTAATTTTCTATGGCAAAACATCCCAAAGACTAACCTCTCTTATGGTAAAGAACCGTTTCCTAAACAGATTATAAAATCTTTAGTCAATAATGTAACTGCCACCCCTTTGTACAATTCTTTAAAGTAAATTTTTCTAATTTTTATACTAATGTTTAAATATATTTAAACATGTTGAATATAGAGTGTATGAAAGCAAAAAAAAATCTGCTGTAGTTATAAAGTACCTAAAGGTATCTTTACATACCTGCGGCAACCTTCTAAATCCTCCTGTCAAATCAAAATAAGCCCCTTCTCACCCCTGCCGATTCCTGTTGACCAGAGAGGCTGCTCATCATAATGATGGTCCTATAGAAATGTGGGGGCTGAACCTAGTAAAAGCTGTTAAAAGCTTTGTCAGAACTGCCAGGAACTGTATTCAATTAAAAAGTGTGTCGTGTCTTAGATTTTTACACATTCATTTTCTTCTGCCTTTTAACTGTCGCCGTTTTGTTAAGATCATTTTATACGTCACTCCTCTGATGCTATATATTGCTATTAGTAAAAAATAACAACATCACTATCTGTTTTATCTCCAGATCATTTATAAACAGATTGGATTTGATCATGGTTTTGGGTTCATTTATATTCAGAGTGCATCATTTGCATTTCCAACATCTATTTTAGTTACCCTTCTATACACACTGATCATGTTACTTAGGACCTGACTTGATTATTGTCTTCAAACATCTATAATATACGCATAGCAGTAATAACCATGTTTCCTGAAATAAAATTGTAGATCTATTAACACTGCTTAAAGTGTAAATCCTTGAAGCTGTATTTCATTAAATGTTCCATTTTCTCCTAGGACATTGAGGCTGATCACAGCGAGTATGTTGCAGATATAGGGTTCAGGGTGAGTCTTGTCATTGAAGTGTTTTCAATAAAATGATGACCTGAAAAACATAGCAGTCTCTGCTTTCTAGCATGGGTGTAAAATCCTTTTACTCATGGGTTGAAGCAGAGTGATAGGTACTTTCTTTCCAGGATACCAGACCATCAGTCTTTTTTGTACTCATAGGGCTGCTCTGCCTGTATGGAAGAGGTCAGCTCTGACTTTGGATACCCATGGGTTGTGTTAAAGGAGAGTTATGAGGTGAGTGCTTTGCACTCAGCCTCATAATCTGAGCCGACCTGTGACAGTGTAACTGTCACAGGTCGGCTCAGTAGATCGGGAAGTGAGCGAACACATACCGTCGCTCGATCACTTCTCGATCTATCCCTGCAGGTGAGCCGTGACAGGGTAGTGACTGGATTCCCCCCTCCCCTGTCCAAACCTCCAGCGCTGACTGGCGGAACGGACGGGGGAGTGGGCAGGTACAGCTGGCCCTGCCTCTAGATAGGCAGAGCCCGCTGTCACTCACGCAGCTGGGCGGATCCAGACATAATTGTCGGGATCCGTTTCAGCTGAGGCGTCTCAGTATACCGCGAGCTGCAGTTCGCGGTATACTGAGCTTTGGGTGACGGGAGGACGCTAGTTTGTGTCCTCCCGTTACCCTTTGGAGAACTATGGGGAAAAGCCTTAACCCCATAGTTCTCCTTTAAGTGGAAAAAGGCTAAACAGTTCTTGGCTTCTCAGTTGATTCTACTATTGTCTACCGTATATACTCGAGTATAAGCCGACCCGAATATAAGCCGAGGTACCTAATTTTACCACAAAAAATGCTCTGCGAGGTAAGTAAGAAGAAACCTGACTCGAGTATAAGCCGAGGGGGGCATTTTTCAGCACAAAAAATGGGCTGAAAAACTCGGCTTATACTCGAGTATATACAGTAATTAATCTGGTTATTTAACAGGAATTGGGCTAGCATTCCAACTACATATTAAGGTCATGCAAGTTTAAGTCATACGTCAGAAAACCGATCCTGGAAAATATACATTTAAAGCTAGGTATACACAGTTAGAATTGCATTCGAAAACAGTTGCTTTTGAAACATTTATTTGATTCTTTAATGGTGTCAAATCAACATTCAATTTCAGCCGTAGTGACAAAAAAAATTGAAGGATCAGGATGTAATATTTTTCACAAACACAAGATTCTAACAGTAAATGTGGTTTTTATCCAGGTAATTTAATTAATTCCAAAGTTGAATGACAATTGTCAAGTCACTGATGGCTTTATTGAATGTTCTGATGAGATTTTTCGGAAGATGTTTGTTTGAAATTCTAACCATGTATAGCCTGCTTTAGTCTTTATGGTGAAGCAGTCTTATTGCTTAGGAGACACTGATAGACCCAAAGATTGACTTCATAGGAAAGAGAATTTTCAGGTAGACAACTGCTTGAAATTTGTTTTTTATTTTTCAGGTGGTGTGTCAAAACTGCACTCTGGGCTTACAGCAAAAATAATTTAGATTGTTTGCTATTTATTATATTGGAAGAATGCATTATGTATGTTGAGGTTCATACAATGGTCCTTTATTATAAACTCCTCCAAAAAATAATGCACACCAGTATTTCTGCATCCCTTTAAGTCTGGGGCGCCCACTATTTTTCGTCTGGAGATCTACTTTTCAAATGACGAGCTAACTGAGATCTACCAACGAAAAAACACCTGCATTCAGGGGCGTGAGGGGGCGTGGCGGTGCATTGAAGTCAATGTCACCGCAGCCAGGCTCCGCAGGCAGGCCCCTCGCCCACAGTGCGATCGCCTGCATTAGTGCCTGTGTTCCAGTCCAGTGCGATCCGCAAAAATTCTGCGAGCACTATTTTTGCAGATCGCACTGGACCGGAATGCAGGCGCTAATGTGCCTGCGTTCCGAGTGCGGGCGATCGCAATGTGGATGATGCCATTGACTTCAATACAGCTCCACACCTGAACGCAGGGAGTCGGCCGACCTACATTCCAGTGCGCCCTACATGTCCCGGCGTCCTGTCCTCCCGTGGTGCTCGTGTGGCCGATGTTGCACATGGGGTGTCCTGTACCTTTCCATCTGCAGTGTCTGACACATTCAGCCGGCAGCCGCACAAGCACCACGGGAGCATAGCCGTAGCCAGCTCCTTTTGCGCCTGAGGCAAGAAAAAAAAACGTTTTTTTAATTTATTTTTTACTATTTTTTATTTTATTTTCATTATTTTTTTTTATTTTCGTAATTTTTTTTTTTACTCTTGGGGGGGCTTCGGGGAAATATTAGGGGTCTAAAAAGCCCCTTGATATTTCCCTTTTAAAATAGAAAAATAAATTGAGGACA